ATTATTATTATTATTATTACTATTAGCTTATTTTATTGTTTGATACTATTGATTTACATCAATGTTGTTGGGTTCGATTATTACATTCTTCACTCTCACAGTGGCAACTATAAATAGATTGTAAGTGATTTACAATAACTAAATTTTTAAAATTATGTTTTAATTAAATCTTCAATAGAGGATGTAATTTTATACTTCACTTATGCTTAGTCATCTAGCAAAAGAAAATTGTACTAAAATTGCATTCATGTTGAACACTACATAAACAATTTTTGTGTAGTCATGAAGTTCACAAGATACTTTAAAACAAATAAATAAACAGAACATATATAAGACTTATTCGGTTAGACTTTCAAAATACTTTGAACTATCGTCAACCTCAATCTGAGCTGAAAGAGAACTAAAAAATACTAAATAAAAATGACCACACTTATGATGTCGAAGTTATCTATTGGTTTCCTAACATTGCACTTCCATTTTGGAGGAATATTGAGATGATGAACAAATCAATTTTAAAAGGAAAGTTTCTTCTTGATGGCGCAAGTTGGACATATATCATACACGTGTCACGGGTTAACTTCAATCGTCGAAGTAACCGTGCACTTCTTAGCAACTCACTCTATCGGCTACTAAGGCAGGCTTCCCGACTCAGTCAAGCACCACAATGCCAAAAGCTTAATAGAGAGAGAAAGTGTGAAGATAAACTTATAAACACGTTGATTGTCAATGCTTAAACGATACAAATGAGAGGGGTGGTGGTCCTTTTATAGGCCAAGGACTTCACAAGACTATTCTAGATGTGGGACTTGAATTGCCATAGGTCTTGCTCCTTCTCCCATATTGCCTCACTAACCGGAGCACCTTTCTACCGGACAAAGTACTCAGTTCAACGGGGCATTCCCTGCTTGCCCATCTTGCGATCCGCCATAATCTCCGCAACCTTCTTCTCGTACGACTCCGTGGTAGTAGGTGGAGCACGGTGTGAATCATTTCGGGATGGGTCCTCCTAATATTTATGATATGGCTTCAAAAAACTTACTAGAAGACCGGGTGGATCTTGAAGTCATCGGGTTGGTTGAGTCAATAGAATCGAGTGCTGACTTTCTTCACCACCTCGAACGGTCCCTCGTACCTCCGCGTCAAGCCTTTGTGCACTTGACGGATCCCCTTTTTTTTTCTCCACAATATCTGGAACAACACTTAAAGGATTCGATGTCCATTCCAAAACCTCCCCACAATAGTAAATCAGAGTTCGGATGCAAAAATTATGGCCAAAATATGATTTACTGACAAAACTCATAAATTCAAACTTTGAATCCCCAATTCACTCAATTCCTTGATCATTTGATGTGTATAGACTCAAAACCAACTATAATACTCAATCAGGGTCTAAGAACACTTAGGAAACTACAAAGCTTGATAGTGCCGTCAAAAAATCACTACTATTTGTGTTTCTTGAGAGACGAATTCAACAACACAACTCATGTTTGGCAACTAACAATGGATTGGAACTAGCTTTCATTTCCACTAGAGAGGAATTTTTGCAACAACAATTTGGTTATTTCAAGAAACCATGAACTATCTCCAAACAACATGTATTAAACATATTTTTTAACATGAATTAAAACAAGTAGGACATAGAGATACATGATCGAACATGTTGTGAATAAAATAGCTTCGAAATCTTATGAAAAAAAATCAAAAACCGCTCTGATACCAATTTATGACATGGATTACGATCATCTCCATAAATCAAACTCGAAATGAAATATGTAATACATTTGGGAAAATGGTAAATCAAACTTACAAATGAAGAATCGAAATAAAATTAGGATAAATCGAATTCCAAAAGCAATAACTCTTCTCGAGCGAGCACTTTCAAGAATCCAAAGACTGTCCCAGGCTGCCGATACGTGTTTCGTCTCTTAGGAAATTGCATCCGAAGCTCTAACAATTGATTTGCCTTCTAGGCAGCTGTAATCACTCCAATATTAAGGAATATCTCCAAAGGTAGCAAGGGTAAACCCTTTCTAATTATTCTCTCAAGTCTAGGTAGTGTGTGCAACAAGAAAATACAAGACACTATATATACTAAGTGGTGAATTAATCTAAGCCGCACATCTTGAGTGACAATTTAATCTAATTCATATATCTTGATTAAGATTAACGGATCATAACTTCCAAGCAAATAAGTAACTTCGACTTGGTCCGGGTTGTGATTGGTCTTTCTATGGTCGGGTTCGGATCATCCAAAGCTGTGTCAACTCTTATGATGTCGAAGTTACTATTGGTATCCTAACATGTCACGTCCACTTTTTCAGGGTATTGAGATGATGAACAAATCGATTTTAAAAGGAAATCTTCTTCTTAATGACACAAGGCTGACATATATTATGCACGGACAAGTATTTACAAGTTTCCTTTTTTTTTTTCTTGTACATTTTATGTGGTCCTTTGTTCGTACTATAAAAAAGTGGTATATGTTTTTATTTGATAATAAACCCAACTAAAAAATTTTACTCTTATCTTCATTATCGTAACTGTTTTATTTCTAAAATGTTGTTAACTGCACCATATATGAATAGCTTAGTGCCAGCGAGTTTGAAGAGCATGCAGGGTTTGGTCATCGAAGAAAGCCGTAAGTATCTCTCTAAATTTCTTATTTTTATCAGAAACTCTTGCCCTATAATTTTTCTATTGCACCTCAATGTTTCAGTCGACACAAGTCAGTAGTTTTAGGCTGTAAATATGACAATGACCGTACAAATAGAACTGTGCGTGAAGCATTACCTTTTTTTATTTTAAGCTATAGTTTATTTTGTTACGTCTTAGCTTGAGACTACTTTTTCTTTTTTTCGCAGGTCAACAAACATATGCACGTCGAAAAATGAATCACTCAAGGAACTCTCTGCAAGGCTTCAAGCTGCACTGATTTTCGGCAATGTGTTGTGCAGCGAATGTCATGATAGCACAGATCTATTGCTCTGAAAAGAATGCCAGCGTAGTTTTCACACAGGTGCACGTGTGCATGTTTCCTTATTATCGCAAAAAAGTCTATATTGTGCCATTATAGAGAGATGGAAGATTTGGAAGAAGAATGACTTCTTTTTATTTTTTACTTTTTATTTTCTGTTAGATCCACCGAACTAAGTACTTTCTTTGAACAAAGAAGCACTTGAATGTGCATTGTTTTTTTGCTATTCATGCCCCAACTCGATCATTTTATAAAACTTATTACTATTATTATCTCTTCTTTGTTTCTCATACAGAATGTGTCCATCACTCCACTTCTAAAGATAACAAACAAATTGCGAATATTGCAAAGACATGTTCAGAGAGAAACAGAATACCTTGGATGATGCTCAAGCACCCCTTCCTACGGCTCAATCCACAGGGGCATCGACGCTGAGCAGCAGTGCTCACTACCAAAAAAATGGCTATTTGTAGCGAAATCTTAGTCACTACAATTTTCTTGCTACAAAAGCTATTTTTTGTTGCAGATATTACCGTAACAAATGGTATTTTTGGTATGGTCAACACCTTTTCTTTTGTTGCGGCATATTTCGGTTACAACTACAATAATTTTATTTTAAATTTCAAAATAAATCTAAAATAATCTAAAATAATATATCATATTTACACATATATATGTCATATATAATACAGACATAATACTTATATATTAATATATACAAATTAAAATTAAAATAATTATTTATTTAAAAACGACGTGATTATAAAAATGTTAATTATAAGAATTGTTATATATTTGGTTGTTAATATTTGGTTCACCTAATCACATTGGTCACATATATAGCATTTTTTTTATAACTTGATTTGTTAAATCTTAATTATAAAAATGTTAATTATAAAAATTGTTATATATTTTGGCCCTTGATTATTGAGGCCTAGAATGCACACAACCGACCCGCCCAAAATTGAAGTCCGGACCCGGCAACCCACTACCCGACCCAATCTCTGAGAGACCCGTCGGTTTATGGCTTTGAACCTGGCTGAACCGGTCTGAACCGGGTCTGCTTCATATATATATATATATATAATGTAGCCCTTAAACCGATCCAGCCCTTAATTCATTCATTCAGAGAACAATACAGAACAGAACCTTTCTCTCGATTCTTCTCTCGTGCGCTAGGCAATTCCTTCGTCGTCGCGCCTGCCTTCTCCAGTGAATCTGTCCGGCGAGTTGGGAGTTCTTCTTCTCCTTCAATGCGTGCCTTCCCCTTGGTGTTTTCTACGGTTTGATTGCTCGATTTGTGCCTTATTGTTGGTTTGCGGTGTAACTTGTCTGCGATGTTCTTTAGGCTTTAATTTCGGCAATGTTTCCTTAGATTGGGTTTCGGTTTAGCGTGTTTGTTACGTTTCCATGGCGTGCCATTTGTGGTTGGGTCTTGGATGTGTGTTCGGTGTCGGTTGGTTTGATATTAGGGTAAACTGAGTCCGAACTGTTGCTTCCGTAATAAATCGAAGTTGTCTTTAAGTTTTCTTCGATGTTGATTTGATTTCGAGAGAATATAGCCTATTGGATCTTGGATTAGTAATAACAAGTGGTATCAGAGCATATTAGGTGGCTAACTCACTGTTTTTCGAATTGATAGATCTCGTTTTGTTTTCTGTTTGTTAAAGAAATGAAATCGTGATTTGTCCTTTGTTTTTTTCCCAAATCTTGAAAATCGTGAGTTGTTCTCTATTTTGTTAAAAGTACTGAAACTCTTTTTCCCCTAATTCTTAATCTAGGTTGCTTGTTCTCTGTTTGTGCGAAACCTTGAACTGTTTGATGTTAAACTGCCATCGGTTACAAAGTTTTGCTAAAATATGTTTTTTGAAACAAGATTGTTACTTGCGAAACTTGTTTGAATGTGATCTGTTTCATCTTTGTTTGATTATAGTGGGATTGATGTTGTGATTTGTTCAATCCTGTAGTTTTGAAATACAATCTGAAAGTTGAGTGATTGTTACTTTGAGGGTTCAGAACTTGAATACTATAATCTTGATCACATTGGCCTAAAAGTGAAACTGAAAGTTGTGGTTCTGGTATAAGTTTGTCTTACATGTGACATTCTTGGTTGAATAGGCTGTTGGTTAGTATAGTCATTTATTGTGCCATCCAAACTATACTAATTCGTGTATTGACTGTGCAGTTTAAGAGGTGTAACAGGTTGGAAACAAAAAGGGACCCTAAAGATAGTCAAAGAACTGTTACGGAGCTAGGAGTGGGTAACTAATAGCTTATCCCTCTATTTTTGAAGTAGTAACTATTTTTTAGTTCTACTTGTGTTGTTTTCTATCTTTTTGGGTTGTGTAGTAACTGATTTGTGTGTTACTTGCCTAAGTGTTTTGCCTTATTTCTGATTGTATTGTGTTTGGTTGGTTTTAGATTTAAAAGATTTTTCAATTATTTTGAAAGTTTGTTAAAATCTTTTAAGAATTGTAAAACAACCATTGTTCTTGGTTTTGAAATTGTTTGGAACCGCCACTGTTTTGGTTATATTTGAGAAAATCATGCTAGTTTGATTGAGAATTGTTAAAATCAAAATTGTTTTTCTAATAAGATCAATATACTTTTATAATGTCCAGCCGTGTGACCTGTACGAAAATGACTCTGTTTTATACAAATTTGAGTGCTACTTAAGTGGTGACTGCCAGCGAGTGGCCACAAGCTCATATAGGTATTTTTTTGTCGCATTTCTTCCTGATCTAATCTTCACTAATTCTTTCCATCTCCATCCCTGAACAAACAATTTGTTCTGTCCAATTTCAGCAATTTGTTCTGCGTATTTGGTTGTTCTCCCAGAAGACCTGAAGCAAGAACATTGGAAGAAAGCAAAAATCCAGTGAGGTAATTAATTCACTATATTAAAATCTCCTATTCAACAATTTGCTTGATCCCCAACACTGACTTACCAACATATATCATAATATCAAAAAAATTATATAATAAATGCAAGAGTTTTTGATAAGTAAAGTTAGGGTGAACTTGCAAACCATGGATTCTTGTTTGTTTATTATTGTTATGATTGTGTTTTAACATGTTATTGAGAACTTCTGAGTTCAGTCATTCTTAGAGATAACAACCAGTTAAACTATATGGTAGTCTGTCCTTTCCTAGATATAAAAAGTGTAGGTTTTTCATGTAGATCGGGTCTCGTATTCTTCTCATATCTCGTGGTTTGGAAAAACGCATTGTTGGTGAGGGGGTGTTGCTATCCGACCCTACCCCAGGTTTGTTTTCAACCTAGTTATATTATCTATATGAAATCGGTTTTGGTTGCAGCCATTTTGAGTAAAGCATATTCTATGGTTATTAGTTAGTCAAAATACTAATACATGATATGGTGACAATGCAATTTATATGGAACTGTAATTGGGTGGTTGTTTGCTCTGTATGACCTTGTTGGGTAGCATATAAATCTTTAATTAAATATTTTTGTAGGCTGGTGGGTAAATTGATTTTTTTTCCCCAAACCACTTTGATTTTTGATGTAACTTATGTGTTAGGTATTTGGATACATTAACAGTACTCAATTAATTGTTGTTTTTAAATTGGTACATGTTTAAGTTGGTTGTTTAAACAAACAAGTTTTCACATGTATCAAATAAATTGATCACGTTGCTGGTTGTTTTATACTTGTGGGGTTGTACAGATGTTGGTCCGGATGTCATCAAGATAGGATCCATGCTATAATTATAGTTATACTAATCTATATTTTACAATTTTGATTACGCTGTTGTATGGATGGTTAAATTAGGCAATCATCTCCGACTTTTTCTCTTACGTATGCTATAATGTTTTAGTTAATATCTTTAATATTTTATATTGATTATATAAAACGTGAGTCTTATTTTCTTTCCAATGATTTGCACATGTTTTCTTTATATGTCCATAGGTGACACTCTTGACATAGTAAGGGTTTTTGTTACATCTGCTACTGTACCAGAGGCTGCGCTTATTCTACGAACAACCTCCGGAGCACAAACACTCGGTGAGGTTGTCCGCGCCGAGCCAATCAACTGGACATTTAAAGATGTACGCAACCACATTTACAAGATTTTCTATTGGATTACAACTTAACCATCTCACAAATAAATTCTTATATAATTTTGCACAATGTTGGCAGCTTGTTCGTCGCCCGTAACTACGGTGTACGGCCACTTTGACGGTGCATGGGGCGTTGCAGCATGGCACGTGATTCTATGATGATTGACATTTGTTTGTGTATTGATGCTAACTAAGTCCTTTATGTTGGTTGAACTTGCTGTCTCTGCTACATTTTGTGTGTTTGTTGCTACGCTTTGCCATATATGTTAGGCTATATTGCAAAATATTTATGTTTCTACACAGTGCGTACTTGCTACAACTTATGGTGATACATAATTGCCGTAATATTTCCATATTTTGTAATGTCATTTGGCAGTATTTTTTCACATCGTACAGGTTTTTCGGTCCCGAAACCATTTTTTTTAGGTTATTATTGAAAAAATAAAGAAACCTTTTTCCATACAATAAATTGGTCGTTACAAATACTGGTACATAAAATATTAACTAGGTTTCTGAAAACCAACTATTGTAACGAATTACTACCGTAATAAAAGCCGTTACAAGTGGATAAGCGTTTATTGTAACGATTCTTTTATAACGGTAAATGGCCGCTATAAATAAATCGAAAGTACAATGATAGCGTTACAAACACTATTACAATAAATGCGTTGACCACCCATTTTTTGTTGTGGAAAAAGTCGGTACAGAGACTTTTTGTAACTCGAGTATATGCACCGGTCAAAATCCGGTACAAAGTCGTTACAAATAGCTTTTTGTACCAAAAAATGGCCATTTGTAGCGGTTATTGAACCGCTACAAATGGCCATTTTTTTGGTAGTGGCTAGTAGCGATAATCTTGTGAAGATGACATATATAAATGTTTCATTTGCATGTACATTCGAAAACACAAGTTATTCAAAACAGTTTTCTACATTTAGAATGAAACGCAAATAATAAAATAAAATGCTGAGAAAGTTTGCAGATGTATTTGTTTTTGCAGGGGTAACTCTTGCTCCATGAATATCTTCAATGACCACACAATTATGATATGCCAGCAGGTATATATGATTTTATTCACTTCAGATTTTATAAAGATCGATTTGTTTAAATTTATTTAGCTTTAACGGAACGTATGCTGATATTTCAACATCCATTTATTATTTTTTAACTTTTGAAGATTTTGCATCGTTTAATATCTTTATAAATAAGCTTAATATCTATTAATATACAGTGGATTGTATAATTTTTTGTTTCTAAAAAAACATGATAGGTTGCTTTATGCACTCTTATGTGTCATAGTTACTCAATTGAATTTAATTCAATTCATTTTTATTGATGGTGAATTATCGTGTATATAATTTTTTTATTTAATAAACATTTTTTGAGTTTTGGCGACTCTGACCCACATCTAGTGCATACCACGACCCGGTGACCTAATTTCCCTAAGATGCGATCTCATCCGTTGATTCTAGGGTTGTAATTCTTGTTGCCTATTCATTCATATATATATATATAGTGTTGCTCTTCATTTTGATATGCGCAGCCGCTTGTATTCTCTTCCATAATAGAGTTCTCTCTTCTCCGTTTGGACTCACTCTTCTCGGTTTGTTAGTAATTTTCGGAAGGTAATTATTCAGTGGATATTTGTGGAGAGATTAGTGAATTTTTTTATGCTGAAATCGAAGAATGAAGCTTTGCTAATTTTTCGAAATTCGAAGTAAAAATTGAGAAAGAGACATCGATGAAGTTGAAAGGATTATTCAGAGGCAACTTATAGCCCCTTACACCCCTCAACAAAATGGTGTGGCGTAGCATCGTAATAGAAGCATTCTTGAAGTTATGACGACCGATGAATGTACCGCATGTAATGTGGGGTGAAGCTGCTGGGCATGCTTTCTACATATTCAACCGTATTCCGACTAAATGAGTGAAAGGGATGACACCATATGAAGTTTAAACCGACACTTGAGCACCTAAAGGTGTTTGAGTGCGTTGGGTATGTGAAGAAGCTGGCTGATCAGGTGTGACACCCCGGCTCGCAAGCCATGCAAAGCCGAGCATGTTGGGATTGTAGACTGGCCTTACAAGTAACCACGAGTCTTTCCAACACGCTTTGTTATCACTCATGTGCACCCTGAGAGACTTCCCAAGGGGTCACTATGCCAAACACGCTTAACTCTAGAGTTCTTTCAGTAAGGCTCCCAAAAAGGTATGTGCACATTGTTGACATAAGTTGTCTATTCAACCATTTAACCTATATTCAACCTTGGATGTCCTGGCACCGGCCCAACCCCGGAGGTATTACATCAGGTCTCGAAGCTCAACAAGTGCAGCACTCCAATAGTTTATTTGGGTGTTGAATTGGGTTCTAAAGCCTACCGAATGTTGAACCCAATTTAGCTGAAGGTTGTGGTTGCTCGTGATGTCATTTTTTATGAAAAGAAAAAATGAAGTTGGGCCCAATCACACACAGAAGGGGCTGATGCAAATAAATTGTGGGTTAACGATTTTTTCAAACATATCCCGGAAGAAGAACTACCAGCCGACACCAACAGAGAACATCAGCCCAAACTTCCTGCTGAGCATGCTGATGGAAATTCTGCAGCAGCTCTGAATGCAACTCCTTCAAGCGAAAATAGTGCAGCAAATGTGGACCCCTCGACGTATGAACACACTCCTATTAAAGGCTTTCGAAGTCTCACTGATATCTACAATGAGATGGAGCATGTGGAAAATGAATCCGATGAATTGATGTTTGTAGGTGATGAACCTACAACATTTACAGAGGCTGCTGGTGTTCCTTCGTGGCAAGAAGCAATAAAAATGGAATTTTGTTCGATTGAAAAGAATCATACTTGGAAGCTTACAACTCTTCCACCTGGGCACAAACCAATCGGACTGAAATGGGTGTTTGAAGTCAAGAAAAATATTGATGGAAATGTTGTCAAACACAAAGCTTTATTGGTCGCAAAAGGATATGTTCAACGGAAATGGATAGATTTTGATGAAGTCTTTGCACCGGTGGCCCGATTGGAAAGTATAAGGCTGCTATTGGCTATAGCTGTGATGAAAGGATGGTTGGTCCATCATCTTGATGTGAAGTCGGGCCTAAAAGAAAATCAATAATAATATTACTTTTCAAAGAATTTTTCATGTTTATCATCATATTGTCAAGGAAATCGGTACACTCCAAGATATTGAATGTGGGGCCTAAAAGATAAATCAAAATAGCTCATTTAGTATTTTTCAGGTCATGCAAACATTACAACTTTCTTGGTAGCTTACAGTGATTGGGTAATGTCATGTTCAGCCTATATTAAGACTTCCAGTATTTTTTTGAAGCATTTGATTGTATTTAAACATGTCTACCTCATTGGTCTGTAGGATAACCATTAATCAAATAGTTACAAAGGAAAATTAAAATAATTACTGTTTCAAGGAAGATGCAAGCATCAATTTCCAACACGATTGGTTGCCAATTGGAAGCTCTAGAGATAAAAAAGTCAAGAACCAAAGGAGTATCAACTTCAGCTTCAAGAAGTCAGGCCGACAACCGAAATTTGAGGCGTGGAAGAAACACTAGTCGCATTGAACGCAATGCAACAGATGCAGAGGAAGAAGCTGCCGATGTAGACTACTCTGCAGATGAACTCCGCCGCCATGCTCAGTCCTGTGATTCTAATAAAATTATTGAATCTCTTTAGAGCAGAGAATGCTTTCGGTTTTTCTAATGCAATAGATGTTGTATATCCTAATATATGCTAAGTGGCTGTTTTATCTAATTTGAATGGAGTTTTTTTTATCCAAAACCGCATTATGTGACTAGAAGAAAAAGGATTGGCTGCGTGACTCTATTCCTATACTTTTCCTGTTTTGTTGGTTTACATTCTTAATTAAATGTTCCTATTCGTATGGATTGTTTATTGTTTCCTTGGATGGCATGCCGTGAATGACGCAGCAGTGTTCAAGGCATAGAATATGACGCTCTAGATGACATCAATGTCGGTGTAAGTGTAAGCAGTACATGTTTGTGCCTTCGTTGTGAGATAAGGTATTTCAAGAAATATGTCTATGGCCATGTTTAACCTATAACATCATAGAGAAAATAAAAAGCATGAAATGTGTTTTGAATTGGCACATGATGGATTCCTTTATTAATTACCTAATGTCACGCAAATGAATATTTTACTAAAGATTGTAACGAACCATGAAACTGGTAGTGGCGACTGGTGTTAATGATTGTTGATACAAAAATGCACGATGTTGTGAGATTTTTTGTGTCATATTTCAAAATATTATGAAAATTTAACTTGTGATGTGTTATGATTGTAATGGTGTTGATACTTGGGATTAGTATAAATATCCTTGATTATACTAGAGATTTTGCACATCAGCTTGTTAATAGCTTCTATGCGGCTTTCAGAATTATTGATTAATCTTATGAACACATTAATTAGAAGAAAGTATGCCCAATTTTTTCTCAACAGATTAGTAATAGATATTAATTCTGATTGACGAAATTAAGGAGGAAATTGATAGGAGTTAATTTTGATTGATGAATATTATGGGAGAAATAAAGGGCGGTTACCAAAATAATTATGAAATTTAAATTTTGAATTATTGCAATCGCTTAATTTAGTAGTAGGCATCAAATTACGATTTTATTCCCTTTCCGCATTGTAATCTATTTTAAAAGGGTGTTCCAGAAATAAGAAAGTCTACTTGGGCAAAATTCTGATCTAACTTTTTGATATCAGAGCCACGTTCATGCCCAAGTATATCCCATTAGAAAATGTTGGATTTGGCAGAAGAGAAATTTACAATAACGAACATCGGAGTGGACAATTCAGAAATTTGCCTTCTCACTTAATAACACGAATACACAAACATTATAAATAGCGAAAACAAAGCAACCAAACAGTCCCTTAACACATAATTCAAACACTGAGAAACTAAATGGACCACACCCAATAATTTATTCTAGACACAACAATATCCCAATACATAATTTAATGCCAAACTTAACTAAGTTTATATTATTAACACCCCTTAAACTTGAACCTTTGTGACACCCAAGAGTGCTCTTGCTCAATTGAAATCACTGAACTTCAACGGTTTTGGTGAAGATGTCAGCAGCTTGATCATGAGTCTTCACATACTAGAGTTGGACCTCATTCTTTGCAGCACTTTCTCTTATGAAATGATATCGCAAGTCAATATGCTTACTCCTTTCATGAATAACAGGATTTTTGCTCAAAGATATTGCCGATCGAT